TGGGAGCGCCTGGGAGCCCCTGCCCTGGAGCGCTTCGGGGCGCCTGGGAGCTTCGAGATCGCCTGGGAGCGTGCCGGGAGCGCCTGCGAGCGCCTGGGAGCGTGCCGTCGCGCCTTTCCGGAGCCGCTTCCGCTCGCCCCGGCTCGCTCGGAGCGTCGGATATGGTTGGCGCGCCCATCAGGCGCTCGCGCAAGCTTGCGCCGGGCTCGCTTACATCGTTCGGCATGGTATCGGTTCACTGTCTTTCGCAATGGCACCATTCGAGCTTGCTCAATACGTGGTGTTTTTCGTCTTGAGGGTTTAGGGTTCAGGGTTTAGGGTTTAGGGCTTAGGGTTTAGGGGTTTAGGATTTAGGGTTTAGGTTTAGGGTTTAGGGTTTAGGCCCTAGGGCGCAGATCGCGTTCCGTGGGCTCCGTGTGCTGAATGGCCACCAAATGCGAGCGGGCACGCAGTTGGTCGTACCCTCTTTTCCCCTCTTGGTGCGAGCGGGCACGCATTTGGTCGTACCCTCTTTTCCCTCCCCTCAGGCCCACCAAATGCGTGCCCTTTCGCATTTGGTGGGAAAAGAAGGCCTCAGGGCCCCTCGCGTACCCTCTTTTCCCACAAAATGCGAGCGGGCACGCATTTGGTGGGCCTGAGGGGAAAAGAGGGTACGACCAAATGCGTGCCCGCTCGCACCAAATGGGCTAAGAGGGGAAAAGAGGGTGCGACCAAATGCGTGCCCGCTCGCGTTTGGTGGCAATTTAGCGCCCCTGAGGGCGCCCTGATGGGGGAAAGAGGGTGCGACCAAATGCGTGCCCGCTCGCACCAAATGGGCTAAGAGGGGAAAAGAAGGTACGACCAAATGCGTGCCCGCTCGCGTTTGGTGGCAATTTAGCGCCCCTGAGGGCGCCCTGAGGGGAAAAGAGGGTACGACCAAATGCGTGCCCGCTCGCACCGAATGGGCTAAGAGGGGAAAAGAGGGTACGACCAAATGCGTACCCGCTCGCATTTGGTGGGAAAAGAGAATACGCGAGAGGCCCTGAGGGCCCCTCGCGTACCTTCTTTTCCTTCCAAATGCGAGCGGGCACGCGTTTGGTGAGCCTAAGGGGAAAAGAGGGTACGACCAAATGCGTGCCCGCTCGCATTTGGTGGCTAAGCGGGGAAAAGAGGGTACGACCAAATGCGTGCCCGCTCGCATTTGGTGGCAATTTAGCACGCGGAACGCGATCTGCGATCTAGGGTTTAGGGTTTAGGGTTTAGAGTTAGGGTTAGGGTTAGGGTTAGGGTTAGGGTTTAGGGTTAGGGTTAGGGTTAGGGTTAGGGTTTAGGGTTTAGGGTTAGAGTTAGGGTTAGGGTTAGGGTTAGGGTTAGGGTTAGGGTTAGGGTTAGGGTTAGGTTAGGGTTGGGGTTGGAGTTGGGGTTAGGGTGAGGGTTAGGGTTAGAGTTAGGATTATGATTAGGGTTAAGGGTTAAGGGTTAAGGGTTAAGGGTTAGGGTTAGGGGTTAGGGGTTAGGGTTAGGGTTAGGGTTTGGGTTAGGGTTGGGTATAGGGTTAGGGTTAGGGTTAGGGTTAGGGTTAGGGTTTAGGGCTTAGGGTTTAGGGTCTAACAGGGCAAGGCCAGGAGTACCTACCTGCATAGGCACTCACCTGCGGTGGCTATCAATCCCCCCCGCATCTCCACCCCCACATAAAGATCATCTCTCCTCTCATGTTATACCGTGGCTGTAGCATAGCATAGCATACCATAGCAAGCGTGGCTCGATCCAGGAGTGCGCCTGTGAGCAAGCGCTTAGCAAAGAGGCGGCGGCCGCGCGCGTGTGCACTTTGTCGTTTTTTTGCAATTGAATATGAGCATGGCCACATTCGCCGTGCGCTCAAAAGTTTGTGCCGCCCCGATTTACAAGAATGTTGCAAAACCCGCTGGCTTTTTTTCAATGATTCAGGATGCACGCGGAGGGCGATCCTGCACAATTATGGTATGAGAAAATCATATGTTTTCGTGTGTTTTGCTGATATCGCTTCTGAACATATTGAAACACATTGTGTTTCAACAGGTTTCGCCATGATCGCGCGGCCGCCGCGCGCGTGTGCACTTTGTCGTATTTTTTGCAATGGAATTTGAGCATGGACACATCTTGCAATAGCAGAATGTTAAGTTTATAATTTTTTACAATATAAAACCCGGGTTTACATACCGGGTTGCAACCGGGGCCGGGCACTTTGTATTGTTAAAAATTTGGTTTTATGAGCATGGACACATCTTGCAAGAGCAGAATGTTAAGTTATAGTATTTTTTACAATATAAAACCCGGGTTTACATGCCGGGTCGCAACCGGGGCCGGGCACTTTGTATTGTAAAAATATGGTTTTCTAATCGCACGATCAGGATATAGTATTTTTTGCAATGGATAGAGCGGGGCCGCGACTGGGACCGGGCACAATGTATTGTAAAAAATATGGCTTTCTGATCGCATGATCAGGAAATGAGATTTTTGCATAGGATGGATGGGGGGTTGCATAGCGGCCGGTTTTGAAGGATTCAGGGTTTAATAATTATAAGGATTAAAGATTTAGGATTTAGGGCCTGCATTGGCGCAAGCGCGCGCTGGCTGCGATCCCCCCCGCATCAAGGTTGTTGGGGGGGATCGCTGCCCAAGCCGCGCGCGCCACGGTTAGTCGCACTCCCGCCCCAGACCACCCAGAGTGCAGCTTTTTAGGGTTTAGGGTTTCTCCCCCCAACCCCCCTATCACGGGGGGGCTGTCGAAGTGGCGCGCGCGGGCGATCGCCAACGCGGCCGTGGCACTGCGCATCCACGTGAGCACGCGCGCAGGGCGCGTGGCGTAGGCGGCGCTTCGGCTCGTCGCCCCGTTGAAGAGGCAGCCGTTGGCGATGCCGGCGATTAGCTTCGCCGTTGGGCTGCCGCTGGCGCAGCATGTCCATGCGTTGACGCCTTTGCCTTCGGCACTGGGTTGTGACACTGGGCTGCGAATGCTGGGAAGCGCGCGCGGCCGCGGCCGTAGCAATGCGCGCCGATGCGAGCACGCGCGCAGGGTGCATGGCGCTGGCGCGCCAGCTCGCCTTGTCGATGAGGCAGCCGTTTGCGCCTTCGGCGTGGAGCTTCGCCGTTGGGCTGCCGCTGGCACAGCAGATCCACGGGGGTCTGGCATTTGCCGTCGGCATTGGAAAGCAGCACTGCAAGGGCGCTGGCGGGACAATACTATGGGTTCCCCTGCGCCTCAAGCGAGTGGTTGCGCCGTCGGGCTCCTCGCTGACGGCGACGCGCACGGCAGTTGCATTCGCCCGCGGCTTTGGGTTTCGCCTTTGGGGTCGCCCCCCCGCTGAAGCGATTGCAATCATCGACGCAGCCGCCTTCGGCGCGAGCTTCGGACGGCTGGAGGGGGGGCGCGAGGGGGTGGGTCTGGCACCCCCTCGCCACGATGCGCGCGCATGGTTGCGGCAGCACCTCCATGGCAGAGCCCGTGGAATGCCTTGGGGGGCCCTCTGGCAGCGCTGGGAGAGCGCTTGGAGCTTCCCCCAGGAGCCCTGGGACTGCCTGGAACCGCCTGGGCACGCTTGGGAGCGCGCGGGAGCGCATGGGAGCACCGCGTGGCGCCTTGGAGCGCTTGTGGGTGCTGAAGAGCGCGTGGGAATGCTTGGGCGCCCGGTAGCACTTGGGAGCGCCGGGGAGCGCTTAGGAGCGCTTCGGAGTTGTGGCAGCGCTGGAAACGCTGGGGAGCGCCTGCGAGCGCCTGGGAGCGCGCCAGGAGCGTGCTGGGAGCGCTTGGGAGCGCTTGCGAGCGCCTGGGAGCGCCTGGGGGCGTGCCGGGAGCGCTTGGGAGCGCGTGGGGGCGCCTGGGAGCGCAGCCAGCGCGCGCCTGGGAACGCGCCTGGGTGCGTGCCGGGAGCGCCCAGGAGCGCCCAGGAGCGCTTGGGAGCGCTTGGGAGCGCCTGGGAGCGCCTGGGAGCGCGTGGGAGCGTGCCGAGAGCGCCTGGGAGCGTGCCGGGAGCGCCTGGGAGCGCCTGGGAGCGCTTGGGAGCGTGCCGGGAGCGCTTGGGAAAGCTTGGAGGCGCCTGGGAGCGCCTGGGAGCGCTTGGGAGCACTTGGGAGCGCCTGGGAGCGCCGGGGAGCGCCTGGGAACGCTTGGGAGCGCCTGGGGGCGCGCCGGGAGCGCTTGGAGAGCCCTTGGGAGCGCCTGGAGCGTTTGGAAGCGTTTGGAGCGCCGTATGCGGTAACTTCAAAGGTTTGGAGCAACCAGGGAGCACCGCAGGTTTGGAGCCCCAGGGGATGGTACCGATCGTAGGGAACCCTTTGGCTGGGGTCTGAGGTTAAGGGTTCTTTTCATTAAGCGAACAAGCGGCGGCCGCATACGCGCGGCGAGCGAATGCCTCCTCAGCGCTGCACGCTTCGTCGGTGCCACGTACGTGGAATTGGGCAGGCTCGCTGAGCGCTCGGCCAGGCGCCACGGGCTACGGGCGTTGCACCGCCCGTGGCTTGCAGTTGAGGGTTTAGTGTTTAGGGTGAGGGTTAGGGTTAGGGTTAGGGTTAGGGCGAGGGTGAGGGTTAGGGTTTAGGGTTAGGGTTTAGGGTTTAGGGTTTAGGGCATCGCTGGGCGGAAGCAGCTCGACCCCCCTCCTTCAAGAGGTTGAGGGGGGGGGGGGGCCGGCTGCTATGCGATCCCGCTCCCACCCCCCACCCAAAAGTACCAGTTTAGGGTTGTCCTACCCCCCTCGCTCCCCCCTTCTCATGGGGGGAAGTTCCATGCTGGCGGTCATGTTCCTTGGGCATCAACTATCGGTCCAGCTACCCCCCCTTCGCCCCCCCTTCGGAGGAAGGGGGGGAGGTCTTGCAGGCGGCTCTCGTGCTGGAATATCCGACGCGCAGCAGCCGCACTTGTGGGCAGGTGGCTGAGGCCGTGGAGAACAGTGTCTGGGCGCGCCACGCGGCTCGTGTCGCCGCCGACCTGTGTCGCCGGCGGCGTCTGCGGTGGCCCCCACGCGCGCGTGCTGCGGGCCCGCTCAGGAGGGATCCATCCAGGTGGCGGGCACGAAGTGCTCGGGCGTCAACGCGCCCGCGAGCTTGTAGTCGGCAGCGCGCTCCACGCGCGACAACGCCGTGTATCCCGCCGACGGGCAGAACTGCTTATCGAGCACGACGGTGATGTGCTTGAACTCATCGCCCTGCACCTGATCGGGTTGGCAGACGCAGCGCGTTCCCTTCTGCCAGCGCTCGCCAGTCTGGGGCGCCCCGAACGCAGCGCGAGAGGACTCGTCTCTCGCTCGCGTCGCGCTCGGGGTGTCCGACAAGCGAGCACGTCTGCCAGGGGGGGGGCGCTGCCTCTGCCATCCCCCGTGTCCTTGCCTTGTGGATGGTGCTCGCGTAGCCGAGCCTGACGGGGAAGTGGCGCACGTTGCGGCCATCGATCTTCTTGTTGGTCCACTTGGTGATGGGCAGGAGCTGATTCGTCTTGGTGCGGACGAGGAGCGCGCCGCCGTCGCCGTTCGGCGTGAACCTCTCGACCGCGCAGGCCATGCCGTTGACGTAGTCGTCCTCCTTGCGCACGCTCTGTGCGAGGTAGAGACGAGCACCTCTGTAGATCGGCACCTTGGCAGGAATGGGCCTGCGGTCGTCGCGGAAGCCGTCCTTGGTGCAGTTATCGGGGTTGATGTCGATGTCCCCGTCGATCACCGCGATGGGCCTGCGCCCCGCGAAGAGGCCCTCCACGGCGAGATTGTTGATCTCCTCCGCTTTGTGGCGCGTGCACGTGACGATGACGGTCTCTGGATGCTCGTCGAGGTGGCGCTTGATGTCGTCCGCGTCGGGGTGCTCCCAGTTCCAGGCTTTGCGGCCGCGGCGCATGGTCCTGAGCATTTTCTTGCTGGGCTTGTCCACGCGGAGCTTGTCGAGGACCTTGAGGAACTCGGGGTCCTTGCAGCGCCAGGCCTGGTGCAGGGTGATCACTCTGCACTTTTTCCAGGCGGCGTTCTCCCACGGGCGACCGTTCTTGACCGCGTCAATGGCGGGCAGCTGGTACTTGTCGCCCAGGATGACAAAGGCTGGGAGCTTCTGCGCCGCGGCCCACATCTTCATCAGCTTCTCGGAGTGGGGCATGTCGAGAAGCGAGACCTCGTCGACCACGGCCATGTCGTAGGAGCTCATCAGGTGCAGCGCCTCGGACTCGGGCTGGCCGAACTTGAAGGCCGCGTGGCAGGTGTCCACGCAGACGTTCTGGATGCCGCGGAGGGACACCTTCATGCGGCTCGCAAGCTGCGCCTTGGGCAGGGCGAAGAGGACCTGGGCGCCCTTCTCGCAGGCGCGGCGGGTGCACTCCTTCACGACGGTGGTCTTGCCCGTGCCTGGCTTGCCAAGGACGATGGTCGGCGTGTTGTTCTGCCAAGCATCGTCGCCCGCCCTCTCGACCGCGGAGGCGCTGTCGCTGTGGTTATAGATGGCGGCGCGGTCAACGGCCTTGTTGACCGCCTTCTCCACCTTCTTCTGCTGGGCGTTGAACTGGTGCGGGGCGGCGGGGCCAGCGCCCCCGCGGCGGCCGCTCGCCGCCGCCGCAGCCACCGCGGCTGTCTCCTCCTCGGCGCGGTTGCGTGCGCCCGGCAGGTATCGTCCACCAGTTCAATCTGCCCGTGGACCATCTCCTGGACGTCCTCGATGTGGTCGTCGGTGCTGGCCTCCTGCTTCATCTCGCTCCTGATCCTGTGGGGCAGCCTCCAGAAGTCGCGGAGCTGGACGGGCGCGCGGTCGTGGTCGTCGCAGCGCCGCAGCGCCGCGGCGAACCAGCGGTACTTCTTGGGCACCAGGCGATCGACGTCCGCGTCCAGGAGCTCGTCCATGCTGTTCGAGACAGGCACGTGCAGCGCCAGCCACTGGCCGAAGAACTTGTCGTTCAGGCGGTAGACGTGGTCGGCAGCGACGATCTTCTCGCCGTTCATCGGGTAGTCGTTGGCAAAGTCTGCGAGCGAGCCCACCTCGAGCGGGTCGATCTGCACCTGCGCGCTCATCTCCGCGTTGAGCTTCTCCTCGACGTGCCACTTGGCGAACGCGCGGAAGTCGTCGGCGCCTTGCTCCTCTCTCCCAGCAAAGGCCTTGAACTCCTTCTTCGTGGCGCCGGCGCGGAACTTTGGAATGGCAGCTTGCCGCCCTTCTTGACGTATGTTGCGAATGCCACGACGAGCACCTCCTCGCGCCACGGCTTCTGAATCCAGTGGACGATCTGGCCATCGTCTCCAGCCTTCCGCAGGAACTCCAGCAGGGGCATGTCGGCACGGCGCCAGGTGCGGCTGGCCGCGCAGTACTGGTCCACGTATGCGGGCGGCGTCTCCATGCCCGGCCAGGGCGCCTGGATGTCGCGTTTGCCCCTGCTCACGGTGGAGAAGTGCCACTGCTTGAAGTTCTGACCGTTGAGCTGGAGCCACATCTCGGGCTCGTAGGGGTGGTACTCGTTGACCATGCGGCGCGCCACCGAGGTCGCAGATCCCTCGTCGTTGAACCACTCGTCGAAGGAGGAGTCGGAGAATTTGGCAGCGTACTTCGCCACGTACTGAAGCAGCATGGACTCTCCGTCTGAGACCTGGAGGTCTTGGTGGCAAGGGAAGCCGTCCATGACGTCCACGAAGAAGGCGCGGTGGACGCCCTCGTCCCTGTCCTCCGCGGAGTGCTTCAGCTTGAGCGTGCCGTCGTCCTCGTTCCAGCCCTCGGGGCCGTCGTAGATGGGCCACTTGCAGTCCTCGTCGCGGTCCTTCTGCGAGCACTTGACTTTGCCCTTCAGCGCCAGGTCCTCTGCCACGGGCATGCTCGCCTTGACGAACTGCTCCAGCCTCGCGGGTTCGAGCTCGTCAGCGAATATCAGGATGTGCGCGTGCGGTCGCCCGCTCCCCTGGTAGCGGAACGTGCCCTCTTTGCGGCTCCCATCCTGGAGTTCGATGCGCGTGAAGACGATGAGCTTGATGGGCTTGCCACCCTCCGCCTTGCTGCTGAGGATGTGCTTCTTCCACGCGCCTCCGCCCAGCTGCTTCGCTCGCCCTGTGCGGTTGACGCCCGTGAGGAGCCCGTGCGTGATCTGCAATAATGCGCGCGTCACGTGGAGGCTCTCCGCCGCGGGGAGGTGCATCCGCTTGCTCAGACTCTTGGACATCTCGTCCTGGACCCACTCGTGGTAGGGCGCGAGGTACTCGTAGGGGGACATCGTCCAGAACATCTTGGGCATGCCCACTTGGCGCACCAGGTCGATGAGCCCGTTGTGCACCTCCTTCCAGTATAGCGGGCTGAAGGAATTGTCCTTCATGAGCACGCGCATGGGGACCTTGTCCCGAGGCCGAGGTTCTTGCGACTGCCCGGCGTGCTCCGCAGGTTCAGATCATAGACGTATTGGAGCAGCTCGAACGAGGTCCCGTAGCCGATGAGCGGGGACAGGACCTTTGCCATGAAGCTCTTCTTGATGCTGTGACGCCCAGAGCCTTCTGCCTCGCCTGCATCATCCTCTGCCTCTTGGTCGCTGTCGCCGTCAGCTGCCTCGCTGCCAGAGTCGGAGGACTCGCCGTCGCCGTGCTCACTGTCATGATCGCTGTCCTGCCTGTCGTGCGGGTCGCGGCCTGCGCTCGCGGACTGCGCGTCATCGTCGTTGCTCTCGATGTTCGAGTCATCCTCGTCCTCTGCCGCAGCGCCGCGGCCGCCCTTCTTGCGGGCGCGCCGCTCCTCGCGGCGCTCGTCCGTGTAGCGCTCGTACGACTCGCACATCTTCTTCGTCCAATACAGGTGGGGCCAGATGGCGCACTCGAGACCGACCTAAGGGCGGACTCTGGGGGCCCCTGCCGGTGTACAGGAGGCAAACCTATCGAGCCTCGAGCACGCTGGACAGTGTGTTCGGGGCAAGGTTGCTCCCTGTTGCCCGAACGGGGTTCCCTAGTCTGCCCTTTTGCGCCTGCTCGATGAAGTTGATCGGGCGCCTCCGCTGGCGCTCGTCGGGTTTGCGACTCTTGCCGTCGAAGAACTTCCCGCGCAGCATCTTGAAGTCCTTGTAGCAGCTCTCCTTGCTGTCCATCAGGTAATCGTAGGCGGCCTTCGCCTTCTCGCGGTCCGCGTGCGGGACGTTCCTGAACTTCTTCTTCGGGGCGTGCTCCGACCAGGAGAAGCGGATCATCTTCGCTTTCTTGCGGTAGCCGTTGGGTTTCCCCTTGGCGTCGTGGGAGCGGACCACCGCGCCGACGTCCACGTCCAGCAGGCTCAGCGCACTGATGATCTCGGGCGTGAGGTCCTGCAGCGGCTTCGGGACGTCCTCGGGCTTTGGGACGTAGTGCTTGCGCTTCGCGTTGCAGAGCTTGCACTGCGACTTGGCCAGCTCGGGCTTGCGCTCGCGCCTGAGGTCCGCCTCGTAGAACTCGCGCGGCTGCATCGCTTGGCACTTCGGGCACATGCCCCAGGAGCCGCGGAGGCACCAGGCCTCCAAGGCCTTGGAGTAGTCGGAGTACTCCGCAGGCGGGAGGCCAGTCCCGTTGTCCAGGTGCGCATCCAGCTCCGCCCCAGAGGCGCGCTCGCGCCTCTCCGACCCAGGGAAGACCAGGTTCTTAGCGTACCGCTGGTCCTCGAGCACCTCCTGGCGGAACTTTCGCTTCTGCTTGCGGTCGGGCGGCTCCTGGGTGGTCTGCCGCTTCGCCCTGGCATCGGCCCAGTCCGCCACTTTCTTCTCGGCGGGCGTGCGGCCGCGCTTCGGCTGCCTCACGCGGTCCTCGGGGATCTCGAACCCGGCCTTCTCCACCCTCGTCTTGAAGAGGTCGTGCGGGGTCTTGCCCTCGAACTGGTGGAGCGCCCTCAGGTAGCGCATGGCGCTCTCCCTGCCCTTGACGTTCTTCACCTTCTCTGGCAGGGCATCGACGTCGCAGCAGAAGCAGTGTTTCTTTCCGCCGCGTCCCCGCCGTACCTTGGCGCCAGGAGTGGAGGTGGAGAACGCGCAGTCCTGCTGGATGACCTCGTCGGAGCCTTCCTGCGGCTGCTTCCAGCCGATGCAGAAGTCAGACGAGCCGCGTTGCCCTGCCGGCTTCTTCACCACTGGGCCCGCCGCCACGGCGTCGTCGACCTCCGCGTCGTTCTCGATCCTCGGGTGCTTGGGCGCCCTGGCGCCAGGCTGAGACGCCGGGCGTTTCTGCGGGTGCGGGGGCGGCGGCGGGGGCGGCGCGACAGCCTCGCCGGGCTGCTTCCCGCTCAGGCGGCGCCGCACCGCCGCCGCCGCCATCGGCGCGGCGCTGGCTGGCCGCTTCCGCACGGCCGGCGCCACGTGATCCGCTTCCACGTACTCAGCATCAACATCCGCCTTCATGATGTCGCGCGCGCCCTTGCACAGCTGGGAGATGCGCGGCGGCGGGCATCCGCGGGCCTGGAGGTCGGCGCGAATGGCTTCCTCAGCCTCCCCGCGGCGGAGCGCGGCGAGCACGTCAACCTGTCGGAACTTGGGCGGCATGGTCTCCAAGCTCGGTAGCGGCTGCTCGGTGCGGGGCGTGCTGTTCGGGTAGCAAAGCAGCGCGAGGCGCCGGCAGTTTCGCTTCGAGCCAGATGGCAACGGCGGGAAAGCAGGGGCGAGGAGCAGCGGCAGGGGGCATCGGGCCTCGAGCATTATATTCTGGGGCCAATCTGAGTCTGCCCGTGGCTTGGGAAAGTCCTGGCTGGAGCTCGCACATGGCGCCCTCGAAGATTTGGCGGGTGGGGGAGCGCGAGGGGGCGGGTCTGGCGCCCCCTCGCATCTCATTGTGCTCTACGGACTTCTCTGGTGCCCTTCGCAGTACCCCTTCCAACGCGGGCCTGGCCTGGTCTGTCCTCACTGGGGCTGAGCTGGGCTGGGCCCCCAAGCGCTCCCAGGCGCTCCCAGGCGCTCCCAGGCGCCCCCAGACGCTCCCAAGCGCTTCCCAGGCGCTCCCCAGCGCTCCCAGGCGCTCCCAGGCGCTCCCAGGCGCCCCGGGGCGCTCCCCGGCGCTCCCAAGCGCTCCCATGCGCTCCCAGGTTCTCAACCCAAGCGCTCCCAGGCGCTCCCAGGCGCTCCTCGGCGCTCCCAGGCGCTCCCCGGCGCTCCCAAGCGCTCGCGCGTCGAAATGTCTGTCACATAAAGAAATATATTCGTCGAAATGTCTACTCTACGACATCAAGGAGACGTCAGCCCGTCGAAATGTCTGCGACAGTAGGGGGTGCTGGGGCGTCGAAATGTCTACCACATCAAGAGATGCGTTGCCGTCGAAATGTCTGCGACGTCTTCGAGAGTGAAGCGGGCCGAAATGTCTGCGCCTCGCATGTCTTCTGCGTAGACGTTTCGACGGTCGAAACGTTGAAATGTCTACGGTGTCTTCGGGGCTCGTTTTGTCGAAATGTCTACGACAACAAGACTGCCTTTGTCGAAATGGCTGCGGGGCAGGTCCGGGCACCAGGTCCCCTTCGTTTCGACATTCCTATTTTTCTGATGTCGCAGACATTTCGACATTCTGACCCTTCACTGTCGTAGACATTTCGACGAGCAGATGCGCCCCCGGTCCTGGCCGGCGACAGGCGCTCCAGGGCGCTCCCAGGCGCTCCCAGGCGCTCCCAAGCGCTCCCAGGCGCTCCCCAGGCGTTCTCAGGCGCTCCCAAGCGCTCCCAAGCGCTCCCAGGCGCTCCCAGGCGTTCCCAAGCGCTGCCCAGCGCTCTCCCATGCTTGTTGTGCCGGGCTGAGCGGGTAGGGGTGTCACGCGCGGGCCTGGCCTGGCTTGGCGCTCCCAGGCGCTCCCGGCGCCCCCAGGCGCTCCCGGCGCTGCCTCCGTCCCACCTCACTGCGCCAGCGCGGGACGTGCCGCCTGCGTGATTTCGGTCTGGCGGCTCGCCCCCGTGATTTCGGTCCGCCAGATCGCCCAGGCGCTCCCAAACGCTCCCAGGCGCTCCCAGGCGCTCCCAGGCGCTCCCAAGCGCTCCCAGGCGCCCCCAGGCGCTGCACAGCGTTCCCCGGCGCTCCCAGGCGCTCCCAGGCGCCCCCAAGCGCTGCCAGGCGCTCCCAGGCGCCCCCAGGCGCTCCCGGCGCTGCCTCCGTTCCGCCTCACTGCGCCAGCGCAGGACGTGCCGCCCGCGTGATTTCGGTCTGCCAGCTCGCCCCCGTGATTTCGGTCTGCCAGATCGCCCAGGCGCTCCCGAGCGCTCCCAGGCGCTCCCAGGCGCTGCACAGTGTTCCCCGGCGCTCCCAGGCGCTCCCAGGCGCCCCCAAGCGCTGCCAGGCGCTCCCAGGCGCTCCCAGGCGCTCCCAAGCGCTCCCAGCCGTTCTCCGGCGCTCCCAAGCGCTTCCAAGCGCTCCCAAGCGCTCGCACGCGCTCCAGGCGCTCCCAAGCGCTTCCAGGCGCTTCCAGGCGTTCCCAAGCGCTCCCGACGCTCCCAAGCGCTCCCAGGCGCTCCCAGGCGCTCCCAGGCGATCCCAAGCGCTCCCAGGCGCTCCCAGGCGCTCCCAAGCGCTCCCAAGCGCTCCCAGGAGCCCCCAGGCGCTCCCCAGGCGTTCTCAGGCGCTCCCAAGCGCTCCCAAGCGCTCCCAAGAGCTGCAACCACTTCCCACCCCCGGCCGCATGGCCGGCGACCTCCCAAACTAAAGCCTTTTAGGGTTTAGGGCCGCTGGCCCCTAAATTCCCAATGCGTTCCAAGCGCTCCCAGGCGCTCCCAGGCGCTCCCAGGCGCTCCCAGGCGCTCCCAGGCGCTCCCAGGCGCTCCCAGGCGCTCCCAAGCGCTCCCAAGCGCTCCCAGGCGCTCACAGGCGCTCCCAGGCGTTCCCCGGCGATCCCAGGCGCTCCCAGGCGCTCCCAAGCGTTCCCAGGCGCTCCCAAGCGCTTCCCGCACGCTCCCAGGCGCTCCCAGGCGCTCCCAGGCGCTCCCAGACGCTCCCAGGCGCCCCCAGGCGCTCCCACATGCGCCCAGAGGCGCTCGGAGCGCTCCACACGTGTTTTTACGTGTCGGAGAAGCAGAGGGGCGAACTACAAGTCAAAAGTCTTTGGGTTTAGGGTGTTATATTTTTCGAGGACCAGGAGGAGTTTATCTTTGAATCGCGACTCCCAAGGGGCAGCCTACGGCTGCATGGGCGACCCAGTCTGGCAACCAGCTGACGCTTCTCAGAGATGCCCTGTCTCTCGTAGACGGCGACGGTGATGCGCGGTGGGTGGACAGAAGCACAACGAGGCGCTTGGGAATTTAGGGTTAGGGTTAGGGTTAGGGTTAGGTTAGGGTTAGGGTTAGGGTTAGGGTTTAGGGTTAGGGTTTAGGGTTTCGGGTTTAGGGTTTAGGGTCTAACAAGGCAAGGCCAGGAATACCTACCTGCATAGGCACTCACCTGCGGTGGCTATCAATCCCCCCCGCATCTCCACCCCCACATAAATATCATCTCTCCTCTCATGTTATACCCTAGCGGGCGGGTCGGGCGGGCGGGGCCCTAACGGGCGGGTCGGGCGGGCGGGGCCCTAACGGGCGGGTCGGGCGGGCGGGGCCCTAAACGTTAAATCCTCACCATGCACCTATCTCACAATGCAAAAGCCCGTGGGAGCCTGCAGGAAACACTCGGACCCCAATGGAAGCACCTGGCAACCGCGGGACCCTAACAGGCGGGTCGCGCGGGCGGGACCCTAAACCCTAAATCCTCACCATGCACCTATCTCACAATGCAAAAACCCTGGGAGCCTAGAACATTCGGACCCCCATGGAAGCACCTGGCAACCACTAGCAGCCAATTGGAACCCGGCGACATCTTGGGAACCTCTGGAGCAACTAGTAGCCCCTGGAACTCCTGTGAGCCCCTTGGGGAGAAACCCAGCACAGACCGCGGGAGACCTTGGGAGCTTCCCGAAGCCCCTGAGAGCCCCTGAGAGCCCCCTGGAAACCCCTGAAACACATTAAGCACAGGGGAGGCCTTGGGAACATCTGGGAGGCCCCGTCTTGGAGGTCTCGTTGGCCGTCTTGGAGCCCTCTTGGGGTATCTTGTCAGGGTGGGGGGTCTTGAGCTCTCTTGAGGCTGTCTCAGGTCCTTCTTGGGCTGTCTTGGATTGTCAGAAGCCAAAAAATAATTCACAGTTCGACATGGGTCTCCACCTTGATGCATTGTGTTGTTTCGGCACGCTTGGTGTTATGCGACAGCCGCGCTAGAAGCTGAGGTTACCCAGATGATGTGGAACTCGCCTTTTGTAATATATGTTATGCTGGCATAGCATACGAGAGGCGTGGCATAACCTATCACGTCCACACTATTGCGATGTCTATATCATGGTCTTTGGCATGGCATTCCATTGGACTGTGCTATTATTTCTACCATGTCCAGTGTTGTCTATGTCTCATTTTCTGTGCATATGCGCATGCGATGTTTCGATTTATTTCAACGGCGTGTCTCTTCTTAGGCGGTTACCCTCTGCTATGCTCTGCTTCAACCACTCTATGCTTAGATTTTCATAGATGTTCTGGTTTAATCACTCTATAACGCCAGTTCACTTATTGAATCGCTTCGCTCATACCGCCGGCCCATCGTGTAGCGTCGCTGGCACTTTCTTGCATGTTGGGGGAGGCATGTGGGTGGCCTGCAGGAGCCGCTTTGGGGCCTCTTGGGGGCCTCCTGAGGGCTTGTTGGGACCCTCCTGGTGCCTCTTATGGCCCTCTTGGGGCCTCCTGGACTTCTGAGAGCCGAGGGCTCGAATATTTTTTTGCTGATTCCCCCCTGGGGCCTCTCTTGTGGTGTTCTTGGGGCCTTCTTGTGCCGTCTTAGAGATCTCGTGGGCCGTCTTGGAGCCATCTTGGGACATATTCTTGGGGGTGGGGCTCTTGGGCCCTCTGGAGGGTGTCTTGGGCGCTTCTTGGGCTGTCTTGGGTTGTCGTGAAGCCGAAAGGGTGGAAACGCCAGACAATCTTTCCAATACCTATGGCAAAGCATTGCTTCTTGTGTCCCTCTCGGAAGTGATCTTGGAGGCCTCTTGGGGCGTCTGTGGTCCATCCTGGGCGTCTTGGCGCATGTTTTGGTTTTGAGTTCACACATATATATATATTTCGAGGCTTGCCTTATCGCTCTGTCATGTTCTGGTAGCAACCCTTATGACACCAGGTGCGGCGGTTGTTGCGGGATCTCGTGTGTTTGCTATTTCCTGCTCCAGCCACTCTATAACTAGATGCCAGCAGGGTTTGCGGGCAGCTCGCCTTTATGCTTGGTCATGCTATGCCATGCTACACCCAAACTGTACCATGAGAGACGCCAAGAGACGCCAAGAGACGTCAATTGCAGGATTGAAACGCAGGTGGGTGCCTATGCGGTTATTCATGGCCTTGCCTCGTTAGACCCTACCTGGACCTCCAAGACGGCACAAGAGAGCCCCAATAACACCCCAAGAAAGGCACCAGGGGGGGGAACACGAAACAATATTTGTTGCCCTCGCCCCTCAGAAGTCCCCGGGAGGCCCCAATAGGCCCATAAGAGACGCCAAGAGGCTCCCAACAATCCCTCAGGAGGCCCCCAAGAGGCCACAAGGCGGCCCCCGCAGAGTTTTTGCAATGGAATGCAAGCATGGACACATCTTGCAAGGGCAGAATGTTAAGTCTACGTTATTTTTTCAAATGGAAAGTGCACATCGGAAACGAGGAATGATCAGG